CCCACAGCGGCCCCAGAGAGCGCGCTGCGGAGGGCGCGGGTGCCGTGACTCAGCCGAGCACCGCGATGTCAGCGGACGCGGGCCCGGGCTGGGCACGACCCAACCACCTCCCCGGAGGCCGCAGCGCCTGGAGGGGCGGGCAGGGCCCGGCGGGGAGGGGGCCCAGGCCCGTGTCGCCCCCCGCGCCCGCCAGGGTCTGCGCGCGCCCGGCCGTCCGCACGTGCGCGCGGGGGGCGCGCGGCCTCGGGCTGCGAGCGGGCGCGTGGGGTGGGCTCACCGGGCTCCGGCGTTTGAGCGTCACGTTCTTCCAGAGCAGCAGCTGCAGCTGGTGCAGGAAGCCCATGGCGGGGCCGCGCTCCGCCGCCTCAGCGCCGCGGCCCGCTCCTCTGCGCGCCCCGCCGGGCCCCGCCGCCCGCCGCGCCGCTGGGCATCGCCCGCGCGGGGGCGGGGCGCTCGGGCGTCCGGGACCCGATCCGCGCTGGCTCCGCCCCGGCGGCCGCGGCGACAGCGACTCTGCCCGCGCTCCGCCCGCCCCCGCTTAAAGGCGCCGCGCTCCGCCCGCGCCCGCCAGGAGGCGCCCGCCGCCCGGGCCCGAGACCCTCCCGCGCCGCCGCCGGGAAGCCTCCGGGCCGCCCTCACCGGGCGCCACGCCCCGCGCCACAGCCCTCGCAGCGCGCACCCGATCCCAGAGCCCGCTCAGCGCGCGGGGGCCGGGGACCCTCGCCGCCGCGCTCCTCTCCCGGGGCCCCGCTGCGCGGCCGCGCTGGCGACTCTGCGGAGGCGCCCAGGCCCTCACGGTCCCCGGGGCGCGTCGAGCGGACGCTGGCGAGGGTCTCCTGCGAGTCTCCCAAACGGGCGCGTGGAGCCCAGGCGGCGCCCACCTGCAGGGGAGGCCGGGCGGCCGGGGGCTGGGCCCCGCACTCCGGGCAGCCAGCGGAAGGGAGGACACCCGAGGCCCCGAGAACGCTCGCCGCGGGCGGACAGGCCGGGGACCCTGGCTGCCCCCGCTGCACGTGGCTCGTTTTTCGCCCCGTATCCCGGCGAGTGTGGCCGCAGCACCGAGAGTCCGGGGTCAGGCGGTTCCGCGGCGGTGGCTGGCACCTGCTGCGGCGCCCGGGGAGGTGGGCGGTTCCTCCGCGTGGCTTGCGGAGGGCGAGAGGGCAGGCCCCCGCGGCGCCTCCCAGCCTCAGCTTCCCCGCCTGTGAATGGGTTGAAGTGGGGCTGTGCGGGGCCCGGGGTCCAGTGCGGTGTCTGGAGCGCACAGAGAAGGCGCACCCTCAAGTGAACGAAGGACTTCGGGCCGCAGCTCCCCACTCCTCCCAGCTCCTTTGCAGCAGAAAGGTGACCCTGGGCTGGTGGGTGAGGGCGTCAGCCTCCCACCCAGCCCACAGCCTCGGGACATTTGCTGTTCCCTGCTCGGTCCACGGGGCTAAGTCAGGGCAGGAAGCCACCAGCAGCTCGCTCCCACAAGCCCGGGCCATGGGTGATGGGGGCTTCCTGGCTTCATCCTGCCCACCCCCACCAGGGGCGGGGACCAGCCCTGTGCCCAGCCCCGGGAGCTTGGCCTGTTGGGTCTGGTCAGCACCACCCGCGATGGCCTCTCTCCTCGCCCCACTCCCCACCCGGCTGCGGCAGCGTCCTCAGTGCCTCCCCAGCGCTGGCCACCAGAGGGAGCGCCAAGGCACAGGTCAGACGCGTCGCCCCTGACACCCTGCAGCCTGCGGGCCTGGGAGACGGGCACTTTCAGCCTGGCCACGTCTCTGACGTCCGTTCCCTACTCTTCACCCTCTGTGGCCAGTTTCGGTTTTTTGTTTTGAGACAGGGTCTCACTCTGTTGCCCAGGCTTGAGTGCAGTGGTGTGATCACAGCTCACCACGGCTTCAGCCTCCCGGGCTCAGTATCCCAAGTAGCTCTGACCACAGGCGTGAGCCACTGCGCCCTGCTAATTCTTGTATTTTTGGCGGAGATGAGGTTTCACTACACTGCCCAGGCTGCTCTGAAACTCCTGGGCCCATCGCCTTGGCCTTTTGCCGTCTGCCTCAGCAAATCAGGTTTCCTGTCCGCAGCCCGCACCAGGCCTGCCTGCCCTCTGAGGAGCTCCAGGGCCTACAGGGACAAATCTGCCAGCTTGTGGTCTACTCTGACCCATGTACATCTCAGCTCATCTTCTCCCTCCCCACCTCTGTGTCTCCCTGGGCAGGATCTTGGGGACTATCTGAGCCAGTTATTCATGCTGTGTCTGCTCCATGCCTGCCCCAGCCAGTGCCAGCCCCTGGGTCACGGAAGGCAGGAACTGGGGGAGCCATCAGGCAGCTGTGGCACAGGGAGGGCTCTCAGGCAGAGGGCGAGCAAAGGCCCCAGGGTCAGGAGGCAGGATCCCCCGTGGGGAACCAGCAGCCCTGTGGCCGTGGGGGCAACCTGCCAGGGGAGGGCAGACAGGCTCCATGGCCCTGCACGGACGGCACCCATGAGACACTGGTCTTTATTGCTGACACTGGTGTAGGTCTTTATTGCCCTCTGCCTCCCACCCTGAGCCCAGAACAAGCTGGCTTGCTCCTCGTGGTCTCCTGGGCCCCGTGCCAGCCTGCATGCAGGGACCTCAGGACTGTGGGTGCGGCAGGGACCCGTGGCTGTGTCCTGGGGACCACAGTGCCTCTGCTACAGAGGAAGCTCGCGGTCCCAGGCTTGGCCCCCACACACTGTAGGCTGGGGTGTCCCCAGCCCCAAGGGCCTGCCTTTCACCCTCTTCCAGCCAGGCCTTGACCCACACGAGATTTGTTTGGGTGGGGAGGATCCTCGGCAGCCTTTCCCCTCCCATCTGCCCCGACAGCAGGCACCCGTTACTCCCTCCCGCTCTCGCCTCCTCTGCCTGCTCCTGCTCCCGCCTGCACCCCCCGCCCCTGCTTCCTGACCCCCGTCCCCAGCCTCCTGCTAGGCCAGTACTTGCCGGTAAGGGCCGGATGCCTGGTGGTTTGATTTCGACACCCAGCCCTTCCACTCATACCCACCTCCCCCGGCCAGCAGAGCTCAAGCCTGGAACCAGCCCTCCAGGTCCTCATAGACCTGGCTGCGAGGCAGGTGGGGGTAGCGGGCACAGATGGCACAGAAGCGCTCCTGCCAGTCGGTGAACAGTCGCACGCGGAGCCGGTCACGCCAGGCAAAGAAGCGTTGGTATCGGCTCTCGTTCATGCCGGTGAGGAAAGCCGCCAGCTCTCGGGCCGAGGCAAAGTCGTCCACGTGCACGAAGGCGTCGGCAGGCGCGAAGGCCTCGTAGGTCGCCCGTGGGGGCCCCAGCACCACGGGCACAGCACCAGCCGCCAGTGCGTTGCGCCAGAACTTCTCCGTGATGTAGTCTCGGTGCTGAGAGTTCTCGAAGGACAGATAGAAGCGGTATCGGGCCACGGTGGGCAGCAGGCAGCTGGCACACAGCGGCCGCCCACTGGCGCGGCCAAACACGTCCACCCGCAGGTGAAGCACCAGCTGCCGGTACAGCCTGGCACGCGGCTGCTGCTCCTGGAAGTTGCTGACCACCCAGGCGGCAACCCCGCTCTTGGCCGGCAGCGGCGGCGAGGGCCCCAAGTAGGGCTCCAGGCGGCCGTAGGGCACGAAGATGTCTGAGTCTCGACGGTAGCTCAGCACCCAGTTGAAGATGCCGCGGAGGCGGCCGAGGCCGTGGGCGTGGCTGGGCGACTCCATGGAGGCCCACACCCAGGGTTGTCCGGGCGGCCGCTGGGCCAGGGGCAGGTGGGACCGCTGGGTCTGCAGCTCGCGGTGGTGGAAGACCACGGCGTCGGCGCTGGCCAGCAGGCTCCGGTTGGCGCTCAGGCGGCAGCGGGCGATGCCGTAGCGGGTGCAGGTGTCCCCAGGCAGCTCTGGAGGCTGGTCAGTGAAGGGCCAATGCCAGACAAGGATGGTGATGGTGGGCTGGGGTGCCGGGGTGCCCCGAGGGGCTGACCCCAGCAGCCACAGAAGCCAGAGGGCGGCGAGCAGAGCCACTCCGGCCAGGACCTCCGAGCCCCGCAGCCTCCGTGTGGGGCCATTCCCTGCAGCGGCACAAGGGAGGAGAGGCTCTGTCGCCGGAGCTCTGTGGGACACACGCAGCCCCCACTCTGTGCCACCCCCGTCCTCCCCTCCTAGGCTGCCAGCCCTCCCCAGCCCGGGCTTCCCCCCGGGGCCAGACACTCACCAGCATTGCTCATCCGCAGTCTCCCGGAATCAGTCACCCAGGACACCGAGGTTCTCAAATCACAGCACTGCCAGAGGCGCCCTGAAATCACAGCTGCGCCCGGCTCAGCCCCGCCTGGAGCTGTGCGCCTTTCATCTGCCCAAGGTGAGGGAAGCCAGGGAACCTTCCTCTCCTGCCCCGCCCCTGCCCCCATGACCTTTGGCATCAACCACCGTCCCCACCCCCATCTCCCTTACTAGTTGTGGGGCCGCTGGAAGGGGTCTGGCCACAAGAGGAGTGCCAAGCCAGTTGTTACAACGCCCCTCCCTACCCCCCCCCACTGGTCTCCAGAGAGGCCCAGGGATGTCAAGCTGGTCAGGTAGAGGATGGGGAGGCGCCGGCAGGCTTGGCCCAGTGTAGGGAAGGCGAGATTCGGGCACTCGGAGCGGAGATGGCTCCCCAGCCCCCACCCAGCTACCCAGGCCTGGGAGCCAGATAGCAATTGCACTTCCCCAGAGGCAAGGTAGCCCCTCCCACCGCAGCGTCACCCACTTCCCCCAGCTCTCCACCGGCTGGCCGGTCTCCGGGAGACCCTCGTACATTGCAGATGTGCTGTGCTCGGGTCTTTGCAGGAGGCTAAGCTTCCCAATTCCGAGTGGGGCTGAGTACCCTGCCCCACTCTGCCACCTCTGCCATCTGGGAACCCAGTTGACTGGAGAGGGGGTCTGTCCTGGGGCCCTTAGCGTCTTCCAACAGGAGCCTAGCGCGTGCCCATGAGGGCCTGGTCCCAGAATGAACTGTGGAGGCTGCTTGGTCCTTCTTCCCATCCAGATCCATGCCCGTAGGCGCCACTGACTCTAGGCCAGCCCGGGGTCCTGGGCAGCAGGGCACGCAGCTCCCTTCCTCCAGGCGGCGGCAAAGGGGCTTTCCAGGCTGGAAAGGGAAGGAGTCCTTGTGTCCCTGACGCAAGTGGGCTGGGGGCTGGCACCCGCTCCAGGAAGAGGAAGGCTGGACCCAGCCTGAAGTCCAGACTCCCGACTCCCTCTAGCTGGGACCTTCTACAGAAGCCCATGTTAGACACCAGCCAGGCTGGGATGGCCCTGCAGGGTCACCCTGAGCCCCAGCCAACACCCAGCCTCCACCACAGCGGGGCCCCATCAGCTTCTTCAGCCCTACCAGATAGGCTCTCTGGTGCCATCTTAGCTCACTGCAACCTCCACCTCCCCAGTTCAAGCAATTCTCTTGTCTCAGCCTTCTGAGTATCTGGGATTACAAGTGCCTGCCACCACGCCTGACTAATTTTTGTATTTTTGGTAGAGACCAGCTTTCACCACGTTGGCCAGGCTGATCTCAAACCCCTGACTTCAGGTGATCCGCCTGCCGCAGCCTCCAAAGTGCTAAGATTACAGGAGTGAGCCACCACGCCCGGCCAAATTTGTTTTGTGTGGGGGGGGGGGGGGGGGGGTGCTTTGTTTTGTATGAGACAGGGTCTTGCTCTGTTGCTCAGGCTGGAGTGCAGTGGTTAAGTCGTGGCTCACTGCAGCCTCCACCTCCTGGGCTCAAGCCATCCTCTCGACTCAGCCTCCAGAGTCGCTGGGCCTATGGGTGTGCGCCACCATGCCTGGTTAATTTTTTTTTTTTTTTTTTGAGATGGAGTTTCACTCATGTTACCCAGGCTGGAGTGCAATGGCGCGATCTCGGCTCACCGCAACCTCCGCCTCCTGGGTTCAGGCAATTCTCCTGCCTCAGCCTCCTGAGTAGCTGGGATTACAGGCACGCGCCACCATGCCCAGCTGATTTTTTGTATTTTTAGTAGAGACGGGTTTCACCATGTTGATCAGGATGGTCTCGATCTCTTGACCTCGTGATCCACCTGCCTCGGCCTCCCAAAGTGCTGGGATTACAGGCGTGAGCCACCGCGCCCGGCCAATTTCTAAACTTTTTTTGTAGAGACAGAGTCTTGCTATGTTGCACAGGCTGATTTCAAACTCCTGGCTCAAGCAATCCTCCCACCTTGGAATCCCAAAGCTCTGGGATTCCCTGAGTGGGACGTGCCTGTCCTGTCAGGTCCTCTGGGGCCTCAGATCGTGTCTCCCGGGAGGAACGGCAGCCGTGAAAGGTCGTCCTGGCCTTTGCCCCCACACCCTCTGAGGGGACTGCCTCCCACCCACCCCCTGCCCCTGTCCTGCTCCCGTTTCAGGCTCCAGGGGCTGCCGGCCTCTCCCCGCCCCACAGTGAGGACCAGGCTGCCTTGGGAGGGGAACCAGACAGCTGGCAGCAGTCCCACTGCGAGGACAGAGGCAGGCCCGGGACAGGGTGGCAGGCTGGCTCCTCAGAGGCCCCCACCCCTGTGGCACAGCGTAACCGAGCTGAGCTGTGCTGCGGAACTTGTGTAACGGCTGAGGACGGGGCGGGGGGAGCCGAGGGCGCCAAGGGAAACTGTTGGCGCCGGAGCTGCTTTGCTCAAGGGCTGGCACCAGGGTGGGCAGTGCCGCCAGCCCCACCCTTCCAGTCTGCCCTGTTTTGGGTGATGCCCACAGGGGCACCTGGGACTTTCATGCCACCGTAGCGTTTCTCCTCAGAGCCACACCCGGGCTTCAGCCTCACTCCGCCCCTTCTCTTCTCCCTGCAACGGGCACCCGGTGGCAGCTCCCACAGGAAGGAGGCCGTCCTCCCGCACCTGCAGGTGGCCCAGCCTCTGGCTGCTGGAGCCCGCTGTCCTTCCTGTTTGTGCTGCCAGGGGCCCTCGACATGTGCCTCTGCCGCAGCCACAGCCTGCTGCCTTCCTGGGTGGATTGGAAGGAGCCTCCCCTGCCTTCCCCTCGGAGCATGCTCCTCCTTGAGGGCCGCGGGCAGGGTGGCCACCTTGCGGCCCCGTTGTGCGTGGGAACCTGCGAGCTGGCAAATGGGGCTCAGAGGTTTTGCTCAGAAATGGGTCAGAACGAAAGCCTCTTAGAGGAAAGAAAAGGGTATGAGTCAAAAGGAAAGTCCGGGGGCGGAGGGCTCCTCTTCTCTCTCCACCCAGGCCTCCCGACTCCCCGGGCTGGTGAGGACACAGGCAGGCACCAACCCCAGCCCCGTGGCCTGTGAGCATCTCAATGGTCAGGACACGCTCTGCCCAGCTGAGCCTTTGCTGTGGGCCAGCTTCCCAGCGGACCCCCTTCAAGAGGCCTCCACCCATGGGCCCCACTCCCAACCAAGAGCAGGGCACTGGCCAGCTACCCTCTGCAGACAGCGGCCCCCCGGGCATCAGCAAGGGCACCCAGCCCCAGCCCGAGAGGCCCCCAGGGAGCGGGCGGAGCCTGGCTGTCCCCCGCCTACCCACCTGCTGAGCAGGTTGGTCCCAAGGTGCGTCTCGAGCGCCCCCTGGCAGCGTGCTGCAGAGCTGCATGGCTCCAGGGAGGACACAAACTGCGCTTGATTCTCCACGACAGGGGGGAACTGGGGGCTGGGGAGCCCCTCCGAGCCCACCTTTGGAAAGCGGGTGGATGCATGGAGCCTGGCAGGTGGCCGAGGGGCAGGTGAGCCCAGCCCCTCCCCTCCACTCACGTCCCATCAAGCCCCAGGGTGTGGGGGGATCATGTCTGTGCCCCTGTTCGCCTCCAGGTGGAGCTGCCAGGTGGGGACCCACTCTGCACCCCAAGTTTTGCCCGTCCCTTCTGTTCTGCAGCAAGACCCACTCCTCTGTGCTGCGTGGCTGTGCGGGAGGGCTGCGACCCGGGGCCCTGAACCTGGGGCCGGCCCACTCAGCCACGCAGGCTGGGGAACAAGATCGCCCCCCAGGACCAGATGCTGGGGAGGTCCCCACTTCCTAGGGTGCTGGCTAGGGGATCACACACCCCACATTCTGGGCCAAGCATGGTCCTGCCCCAACATCTTGTTGGGTCGGGGGCATCTCCTACCAGAGGAGTGTCACCCCAGAGTCTCTGCCAGGGTCTGCGCACATCACCCTTGGGCATCTGTGCTTGGGAAGTCACCAGGTGTGGGCAGGGCACCAGGCGGGAAGTGGCTGAGGCTGGAAGAACAGACACACATCAGTGCCCCGCTGGGCTTCCTCAAGTGGGAAGCAGTGGAGGGGCTGGGCTGCGGGGCCAGGGTCAGCAGGCTCAGGGCTCACAGTCCAGCCAGCAGCCAAGGCGGGATGTCTCTCGCTGCTTCGAGGGCCCTGGGACGGGGGCAGGAACGGCAGAAGGCAAACTGGAAAGGAAGTGAGTAATGGGCCCCCAGGAAGGCTGAGCCAGGCCTGATGCCCAGGATTGGGGTCTCCAGAGTCCCTGGGGACCCCAGGGCAGCCCACCCACAGCCTGGGGTCTATGGGAGCAGGGGGACTCCTGATGGCTAGGGGCAGGAGCTTGGACAAAGTTGAAGGCTGTCTGAATTGGCTGGGAGCCAATGAAAGCCAAGAAAAGGCTGGGCGCGGCGGCTCACGCCTGTAACCCCAGCACCGTGGGAGCCGAGGCGGGTGGGTCACCTGAGGCCAGGAGTTTGAGACCAGCCTGGCCAGCATGGTGAAACCCTATCTCTACTAAAAATACAAAAATTAGCTGGGTGTTGTGGCAGGTCTATAATCCCACCTACTTGGGAAGCTGAAGCAGGAGAATTGCTTGAACCCAAGAGGCAGAAGTTGCAGTGAACCAAGATTGCACCACTGCAGTCCACCCTAGCAACAGAGTAAGACTCCGTCTCACACACACACATACACACTCTAGCTGGGCACGGTGGCATGCACCTGTAATCCTAGCTACTCAGGAGGCTGAAGCAGGAGAATCACCTGAACGCAAGAATTGGAGCTTACAGTGAGCCAAGATAGCACCGTTGCACTGCAGCCTGGGTGCCAGAGTGAGACTCTCAAAAAAAAGCCAAAAAGGTGAGTGGGGAGCAGGGTGCTGAGCTGCATGAGGGCGTGCCCGCCGGAGGACCCCAGCCGCCTCCAACCTTCCCCAGCTCAGGCCTTCAGGCTCCTTTCTCATGCAGCTGCCCTGGGAGGGAGTCCGTCCTTGCTGAGACCTGAGAGAGTGAGCTGCAGGGACCCTAGGGATAGGCTGGGGACCCCCAGAACAAGAGGATGGGTCACACCGAGAGGCCAGCAGGAGGACACGTGAGTGCTGTGACCCCAGGGACTGACCGTGGAGCTGCAGGGGAGCCTCCCAGCCAGTGACACCCCGACCTGAGCCATACGCTGACCTGAGGTGCCCGGGCCTCTGCACCTGCCTGCTTTCCCTGTGGCTAATGGCTTGGAGTGAAGGATGGTGGGCATGGGCATGCCACACGGGCTCCGCATCCACTCTGCCCCATGCACACAGGCACCCGTCACACTGGGGCCCACAAGCAGGCAGCTGTCACACCAGGCCCCATCACAGCAGTGCCCAGAGGACTAGAAGGCTCCCAGCCCAGGGCCAGCCCAAGGTCACGGGTGAGGAGTGAACTGGGGGCAAGGTGGCTTCCTGGTCTGGGCAGGCTCTGGCCCCCAAAACATACTGGCTAAGCCAGTCGCCCCCAGCAGGAGGGGGCCGTTTCCCACAGCCTGCCTGGCCCACCTTTTCTCCAGGGACCTGGCTGTGCCCAGTGGGCCCGTTTTCCCCATGCCAAGTGTGGTGGTGAACACTGTCAGCTTGACTGGATTGAACTATCGATCCTGGGTATGTCTGTGAGGGTGCTGCCAAAAGAGATTCACATTGGAGTCAGTGGGCTGGGGAAGGCAGACCCACTTTTAATCTTGTGGGCACCATCGAATCAGCTGCTAGCGAATATAAAGTAGGGAGAAAAATGTGAAAAGGCGAGACGGGCGTAGGCTCCCAGCCTACATCTTTCTCCTGGGCTGGATGCTTCCTGCCCTCAAACATCAGACTCCAAGCTCTTCAGTTCTGGGGCTCAGACTGGCTCTCCTTGCTCCTCAGCTTGCAGACAGCCCATTGTGGAACCTTGTGATCGTGTGAGTTAATACTTCATAAACTCCCATCTATACGTGTCGCCCAGGCTGGCGTGCAGTGACGCAATCTTGGCTCTCTGCAACCTCTGCCCCCCAATTTCAAGTGATTCTCCTGCCTCAGTCTCCTGAGTAGCTGGGATTACAGGCACACACCACCACGCCAGGCTAGGCTTTGTATTTTAGTAGAGATGGGGTTTCACCGTGTTGCCCAGGCTGGTCTGGAACTCCTGAGCTCAGGCAATCCGCCCACCTTGGCCTCCCGAAGTGCTGGGATTGCAGGCGTGAGCCACTGCACCCAGCCCCCTTTTATATATATATCAATCCTATTAGTTCTGTTTCTCTTAGAGGACCCTGACTGACCAGGCGCGGGGGCTCAGCCTATAATCCCGGCACTTTGGGAGGCCAAGGCAGGTGGATTACCTGAGGTCGGGAGTTTGATACCAGCCTGACCAACATGGAGAAACCCTGTCTCTACTAAAAATACAAAAATTAGCTGGGCGTGGTGGCATGCGCCTGTAATCCCAGCTACTCGAGAAGCTGAGGCAGGAGAATCGCTTGAACCCAGAGTGCAGAGGTTGCAGTGAGGCGAGATCACGCCATTGAGCCCCAGCCTGGGCAATGAGAGTGAAACCCCGTCTTAAAAAATAAATAAGTAAAAATAAAATAAGAGAACCCTGACTAATAGAACACCAGGGCTGTCTCCCAGCTCCTAACAGCCACAAAGCAGCTTCTGAGCTCAATCCTCCTCCCTCCCCAGCCTCAGTGGGACGGAGTTTCAGCCCCGCACCCTGGCCCAGTGCCGGCCAGATCCCGGCACCTTTGACCACACCGTCGCCCTCCCTCCCTCGGGGCCTTCTTGCTCCTCCACATTTGGGAGTGGCGGGCCAAACCCCAGCTCCAGGCAACCAGGACCCCTGCCATCACACCCCTCACCTGGCCACCTGGCTGTGCACAGCTGGGGTCACCCACGTGCCTCTGCCTGGCGCTCCTCCTCCATGTGCTGCAGGCCTGGAGTCCTTGGTCCCCGTGAGAAACCCAGACTCCATGTCTGCACCCTTTCCCATCTGCCCGGAGGTGGCAGCGCCCATGTCCACGTGTGTGTGGACCGTCCCCTGCTCCAGTCCTCTCTATCACACAGCATGGGGTCTTTGGGGCTGTCACGGCCAACTCCGGGAAGACCCAGCCCTGTGCTCCCTGGGCTCCAGATCTCCCACTTGCAGAGAAGGGTGTGCAGAGCAGGGGTGAGGCCTAGCTGGGTTTGGGGGATGATCCTGTGACCTCTCCTCCAGCTCCATGGGAAGGTCCTCCTAATTAGGGGACAGAAATGCACTTTCCCTCTAGGGGTGCAAGAGCAGACCCCAGGCCCCCTGCTCATGGGTCCATCAACCGGGGCCCCAAACAGGGGAGGAGGGCGACGGATTAACCCACGAGGACCACACACACAGAAGCCGCGGGTCTGAAAAGACTTTAATTGGCTTTTGTCCCTGCAGTTCCCCACCCATTCCTGGCTCTGTGGTTCTCCCTGACCCCTTCAGTTTGGGGGTCCAAACCGAACAGGAGAGGTGCAGGGGACAGACGGTCTCCTGGAACAAAGGTGGGGGTCTCCCTGGCAAGGGGCCCCAGGGCCTGGTGCCCGAGGCCCAGCCCCAAGCACACAACCTCAAAACCTGTTTTAGTGGGAAGCTCTGGGCCCTGCCCCTCCCCCAGGGGTCACACGGTCAGGGAGCAGGTGGGCGTCTGTCCGCCTTCAGGTCACGGCAGCGTGGACGAGCCTGGGGCCGGCAGGGGCGCAGACAGCACGGCGTGGTCGAACAGCGGGTTGCGAACCTCCATCTCTCCGGTCTGCGTCAGGCCCGGCAGCGGGTGAGGTGGGGACACTTGCTGGGAGGGAACCCCCGAGATGGTCCCCCTCCCTGCACCCCGAGGCACTCACTGGGGCCAGGCCCGGGCACTCATACACCGTGAAGTCTCCGTCCTCGTTCTCCTCGTCCGACGAGGCTGTGTCCAGCTCCTTGGGTGGCTCTTTATGCCTGGGTGGGAGGGGGAGCGCTGGGTCCTCCCCACGCCCTTGAGGTGCCCATGGCCCAGTCTGGAAGTGGGTGCTTGGCCCACCTCAGCCCTGGGGTGGCTGGGCAGCAGAGCCCAGGGTGAAGAGGAGGTGGAGGTGCAGGGGGTGCGGAGGCATGGTGGGGGCGGAAATGGAGGTGCAAGGAGGAGGTGAAGGTTAGGGTCCAGGTAAGAGTGGCAGGGCCCGGGGTAAAGTTGGCCAGGGGAGGTGGGGGGTGGGGGGAAGTGGGTGGGGAGGTGAGGGGGGGGGGGGGGGGCGGGGGCGGGGCTGGGGCTGCTGCTCACCGTTCCAGGCACAGCATCTGCTGGCGCTGGTGCTGGTAGTGGTACATCTCCGCGCTGTGTGCCAGCCGCTGGTCCCCAGGCTGTGGGAAGGCAGGGGCAAGGGTCAGGTGGTGGCCAGGGTGGGGTGGCAGCCTCAGGGCTGAAGGGGCACCCACCGAGGTCCGGGGTGCTGCTGCCGAGCCGGGGCCCTTCGCAGTCGCATAGTCAGCCTTCTGGGTCAGGCGGATCTCACGCTGCAGCCTGTGGGGAGCAGGGCCTGAGGCCTCTGGGGGTGTGGCGCCCTCCCTGCCCAGCCTGTGACCGCTGGCTCACCTGCACCAGCAGACGGAGGCCACGGAGAGGGCTGCCGCACCGGCCACACAGAACGCCAGGATCAGCACTGTGGGAGGGGCGTGTGAGGGCGGCCTCCTATGGGGGGGCCTGCCGCCCCTGCCACCCCTGCCCGCCCCCAGCCAAGACCTACCGAGGGCAAGGCCGTCGCCATGCCCACCCCGGGGCTCCAGGGGTGACATGTGCACCGGCTCGGAGGACACGGGGGAGCCCAGGGAGGTGTGGGGCGGGGGCGTGGGGGCTCCCGGAGTTGAGGGGAGGCCCAGCTCCAGCCCCTGCCCCCGTGCTGAGAAGCCCAGGGTGGCTGCGAGAGAGGAGGCGTTAGAGAGGACAGCACCGGGCAGGGGCCAGGCCACGGGGCTGGGGCCGGGCCGTGGGGCAGGGGCTGGGGCCGGGCCGTGGGGCAGGGGCAGGGGCCGGGCCGTGGGGCAGGGGCTGGGCCGTGGGGCTGGGGCCGGGCCGCGGGGCAGGGGCCGCAGGGGTCTCACCAGGCTCCAGGAGCCGCTGTCGAGCCTCAGGCAGGGGCGGAGTTGAGTATCCCGACTCCTTCCGGGCGAGCTCCTGGGCCAGGAAGTCAATCTCATCTTCCAGCCTGGGCTGGGACTGGCCCCGACCTGGGGAGGGTGAGGGCCATCAGGTGAAGGGGCCCATCCAGGAGGCAGCCCCAGGCCTGGCCTCGCAGGTCCCCCCGGGGCGCCCGAGGACTGGGCACCAGCCTGGGGACCCCCTCCCTCCCAGATAGCCATGGTGACGGTAAGGTGCTTCCTGTAAGGAGCAGTGCTCCCCAAAGGTAAACACTGCAAGCTGCCCATGGTGGGGAAGTGGAGGCTGAAGGGCTTCTGGGCAG